GACCAAGTCACAATCTCTTCTCCCTTCTCCCCTCGGGATTTTGGGAACTCATATACACACACCTAGTATGATTTTTCAAGTCACTGGGTCTGGGACTTGAACTATGATCGGCCATGTGGGAGTCCAGTGCCTTAACACCACCCCAACTGCTGGCTCCTAAAAGGAAATTTAAGTCACCTAAACTGTTATATATAAAAAAACATAATTAATAGTCACTTTGTATACATGTCATTTTAATTTTTAAATGTAATGCAACTTTATTAGGTCAAATAGGGAAAAGTCTATGTAAAATTAAAGGAGTTGATGAACACCTAGTTTTTAAAAATTATGATTAATTATAACTTCTAAAGTTGAAAAAAAAAAGGAACCAAGAAGAGATTTGGATAGTTACTTTAATGACATAATTTGACTTAAGACAGTGTCTATTGACTTGCTACTAAAAAGAATGAGGAAATAATGGGACCAACAGTTAATGTAATGGCTATGTCACTGGACTCCCATGTAGTCGGTCGTGGTTCGAGTCCCAGATCCGGAGGCTTAAACTCACGCTGGGCGCGTGTGCATGCGTGCCCAAGATCCCGAGAAAATGGAGGCAAAGGGATTGCGGTGTGGCCATCCCCCCTGGGAGGTGATTTCTTGCTTCCTATCTCTTTGTTTCTCTCTGGCGAGTGCACACACACCCTACAGCAAAAAAAACTCTCCAAAAAAAAAGAGGAAATAAGCATTTAACAATTTTCTACCTCTCCTCTTCAGACTTCTAATTAGTTTCATTATGTTACTTGGATAATGTAAAGATTTCTGATATTTACATCCTGTTCTGAAATGTAATAGCTGGCTTGCTAGTCTTAATTTTATACTTGATGAATTCATTACTTATCTTTTTGTCTTTGTCAGAGTCTATGCATTCCTGGACTCTATTCTGAGTCATCTTGGCCCTCCAGGTTTTTCAAGAAGGGCTTACTATGATGGTATTCTCTGACTGCCTCCCTACTTCCACATGGAGAGCAACCAGAATGAAGAGAAAACTCTGGAATCAGGCTTCCTTTCCCTGCTCCATTGTATTGAATGCTCCTGGGAAGACGTGTGAAGCCAAATAGGGAATTTCTATTGTCTTTTCTGCTCAGAAGCCTATGGATCTGGTTTTTATATTTTTTTAAGGATTATTTTAATTTTATTTATTCATCATTTATTTTAATTTGACCAGAGAGAGAGAGAGAGAACAAGAACGAGTCATCAGGTCCTGGACTTGAACTGTGGTTGGCCATGAGGGAGTGTCCAGTGCCTTAACCACCATGCCACCTGCTGGCTCCCAGTGGATCCTGCCTTTAACCATGAAGTTCAGCCCTTACACAGGTTATGTCTTAGTGGGTCATATTTTCTTGGTACTGGTACGTCATTATAGCTGGCAGATGAAAACTTTTTTTTAAGAATTATTTTTATTTAACTTTTAATTAATTAATTAAAATTTGATCAGAGAGAGAGAGAGAGAAAGTGAGAAATCAAGCTGCCAGGTCCAGGACTCGAACCACAGTTATTAACATGGGAATCCAGCACCCTTAACCACCATGCCACCTGCCAGCCCTGATAAAACTTTTTATAAAGGAAGTCAATTCCTCTCATTTTCTCTCGGAATCCCTTTCTGCTCCATTTGTTCTGGTGTTCTCAACAAATACCCATTGTGCTTATGCTGGATCTCCATTGTCTGCCTCTGTATCCATCATGGCCTCTAAAAACCGGTTTGCCATCCTTGCCTTTTTCAGTGTCATTTTATTAGGTCACTGGAAAAGTCAAGACGCATTTTTGCATAGAAAAACACATCATGACTTTCCTGATGACCCAATATAGGAAATTTTCTAGCCATTCTCCCATACCTGTTTTCATATTTTTATTTATGTTGTTTCTCGTGTAACTTTATTTTTGTATCTTTTTTTCCTCTTCTGTTGTTCCTCCTAACTTTTGCAGTTGTCTTCTCATCTCATGCTGTTGTCTTACAATCATTTCTTTTTACCTCAAGCCCTGGTTTTAAGCCCCCTTTCCCCTCCACATCATGACTGTAAATTCCTTGGGAGCATGGCGTCCACCTGATGGAACTTCCCCTGGAAATATCTTCGTTAGATTGTTCATATGACTCTTGCTTTACACTTCCTTCTCTACCCTCGGACTTCCTTCCTCCCTCCAGTGCAGTCTTCCCCCTCGTTTTACGCTTGTGCTCTGAATGTATCAAGAGCTGGCTGTGAATAATCGCAGTGGAGAATGAGCTTGGGCAGTTTCCACCAGTTTGTTGCCTTCAACATTCCATCATAAAATGTCTTGTTTCCTTTACCCACATCTCTCTTTGGATTTGGTGTATGAGTAGCTGGCATGGCTAAGAAAAGAGCTTCTTAAATAACTGCCTCCTGGGACCAGCCGATGGTGTAACGGTTACGTCGCTGGTCTCCCATGTAGTCGACTGCAGTTTGAGTCTGGCGGGACCCAGCAGCTTAAAATTCACACCAGGCACATGTGCACGCATGCCCAAAATCCCGAGAGGAGTACAGAGGAGAAGGGATTGTGGTGTGGCCATCCTCCCTGGGAGGTGGTTTCTTACTTTCTCTCTGTCTCTGTTTGTCTCTTCGTCTCTTTAGTGAGCACACACAGCCTGTAACAAAAGCCTCTCTCTAAAAGACAAAACTGGCTCGGCATGTAACCACCCAGATCGCTGCCTCTCCTCCCTGTACGTCGCTCCATCTCTGGTCGCTCTCCTTGGTGACACGCAGGCATAACAATATGGCTTCTCCGTCAGCTCTGTCTCCATCCACAGTCCTGCAGGGACACTGCTGATGTTTTTCAGGGGCAGTCCATGGTCCTGATCTAGTCTCTGGAATCAAAGAACTGTCAAATCAACCTTTGAGGGCTGCCACACTTACTCTTGGGGAAATCGAGACACCACTCAGCGCCCGAGGAAGTATCTGTCAGCGCTCAGCCTTCCCTTCTTGTTCTGGAGCAGATTTTATGGTCTTTGGCAGGTGTGTTTCATAATTTATAGCTGGGGACTGTGGCCATTTCATTGTTCACTGAAGACACAGTGTTCCCTTTCTTGCGTTCTCTTTGTCCGTTTATTGTTGGATTTCAAAGAATGAGAATGGAATTTTTAAAAATGCCTTTATTTTCATCTTTAACAGAAAGTCCTAATTATTATGTTCCGAAAAGAGGAAAGCTTTATGTAGGCTTTTAAGCAAATATTTTTAAATTACCATTTGCCAAGTTTTTTTTTTTTTTAAACAAGTTAAATCATCATCTAGGAGTTCTCTACATAATCAAAACGAATGGTGACTTTTAACTTAACTACTGGAGTAATTTTTGGTCATGTAACAGAGGGGTTAAAAAATTGCCAACTCACAAGACATTTTCTATGACAGACATTTGACTTTTTCTCACTATGAATGGCAAGACCACTTGTAAACCCATTGCTCGGGATGGATGGCTTCCGTAATCCTATGTCTGAAGCCAGAGTGCCATTATTTTGTCCGCATTGTTGTTGTTTTGTTTTTCATTGCCAGGAAGTACACACGTTCAAGGGAGCAGCGGCTGGCGTAATGGCTATGTCACTGGACTCCCATATAGTCAACCACAGTTTGAGTCTCGGACCAGTGGCTCAAACTCATGCCGGGCATGTGTGCATGCATGCCCAAGATCCAGAGAGGAGAATGGAGGAGAAAGGGCCCTATAGTAAAAACCTTTCCAAAAATAAATAACGATAAAAAAAAAAAAAAAGGGCATGGT